TGAACTACATGGCTGTGTGAAGAGACAGGGGAAAGTTGATGGAGCAAGCCAAAAGTTCAAGAAGAAGCTACATGCTACCTTGAAAAAGCTGTGGCCACCTGAGTTTTCCAATGCCAAGAGACCAGAATCATAGTTTTAGAAATGGAAGACATCTATGAGATCCTGTTCACTCCTTTGTTTTATGGCAAAATAGGGGTTAGGGAGATTTAGTGACTTAATCAAGGTCATATGTCTGGTTGGCAGCAGGGCTAGCAATAGAATCTGGGTCTTTTGGTTCTAAGACCCCTTTCAATTATACCACAAAACTTAATAATCACTATAATAATCCAAACTTAAAAAAACACATTTGGATAAAAATCCTTCTAAAGTGGTTTACACAATTCCTATTTTTATATATAGAGTATAATTAAACTTTTTCTCTGTGACTCAAGGTCATCATTATGAAGATTAATGATGTCAACTCTATATACTACAGAGTCTACAAATGCCAACTTAATGTAGAGTGCAGCACATTGCTGGGAATATGATTTCTATGAATTTGCTCTTTGCTTTTATTCCTTGCTGCTTTCAGGTCTCTGCCCCCAGTATCATCCCCTTTCCCCACCGTCTAATTCTAAACTGCGGTTTTCTAAAATCTGTTTTTTAGAGTAATATGAAATGCAGACAAATGCTTATCATATTTATTGCAACATTATTCACAAAAACAAAACCCAAACGTCCAACATAGGAGAATGATTAGTAAGTAGTACTTTCAAAGAGCAGGACATTATGTGGCCATTAAAATGACTGTCACATGAAGAGGTTTTAATAAAATAAAGAAGAGCTTACATCATTGTGTTAGATTAAAAATGTAGGATACAAAACTACTAGATATCAATAACATTTTGCTTAGAGTGAAAGAAACAGATCAAATGTTTACAATGAAAGGATTACTGATAATTATTATTCTATTATTATACCATTCTACTTATTAATATTTCTATTTGTTTCTATAATAAAAGTACAATACTCAATATCAGAACAAGAATTTTTAAAAACAGCACATTGGAAAATATAATCTAACAGGTGAGAATCTAAAGCTTTGATGACTTGGTATGGTTGAAGGTGGTTTTTGCTTCCTTCCCATTTCTTTGCTGAAAGTCAGGTTTTTGGATAGTTGAATTGTGGAAGAATAAAAATGTCAGATACTTATATGTTTAACTAGGGGCCCAGTGCACAAAATTCGTGCATGGTGGTGGTGAGGAGTCCCTTTAGCCCAGCCTGCACCCTTTCCAATCTAGGACCCCTCAGGGGATGTCCGACTGCCGGTTTTGAACTGATCCCATAAACCAGCAGTGGGACATCCCTCTCGCAATCTGGGACCACTGGCTCCTAACTGCTCACCTGTCTGCCAGCCTGATCCTTTTAACTACTCTCTGTTCTCCCCTACTGGCCTGGTCTCTCCTAACCACCTGTGCCTCGGCCCCACCACCATGGCTTTGTCTGGAAGGATGTCCAGATGTCAGGTCTAATTAGCATATTACCCTTTTATTAGTATAGATGGGAAAGAGAGGAAACTGAGAGGGCAAGACAGAAGAGAGAAGAGGAAGGAAAGATTCTGAGCCAATGCTTTTAGACAAGTGTCTAAGGATTTTTCATTAACTGGTTTTTAGAAATTTAGAAACCACAGATGTGGTAACTGTCACACAGGCTAATTTGTCAGTGGATGAGCATGAAAGGCAAATTAACCTCTCCACAGACAAAGAAGGGCATTTTCTAATTGATAATTAACCACTTCCTAAAACTGGGAGAGCTGTATTAAGAATGTGATCAAGTAAAAACTGTGATAGCATAGAAAGAAGGTAAGCAGTTGAAACCAATGTCTTTGTATAAAATGTTTAGATCAGAAGGTATCAGATACCTTCTCTTCTATCCTATTTTCTGATTCCTTTGTATTATGATAACCTATTTTTCTTTTTAATAGCAATGACTTCTCCAATCTTCTCCTCGTTCTTTGAATGAAATCATTAAGATGTGGGTAGTACAGCAGAAGGCAGTTGAGATTTTACAACACACAGTGACTGTCACTGACTCATACATACACAGCCCCCACCAAATGTGTCACCTCATGCAAGAATGACCAAGGGCAAACTGAGCCCAGAGTGGCTGATTTAACATAGATGTTGCTTGACTTCTCAAAGCTTCTGAATCATTTTAAAAAAATTTGCCTTTGCCTCCCCAAAGACGACATGCCAAGAAAAAACTCGAGTCCTTTAAACTGGTCTGTGGGATAGAAAAGATCATAAATCTGTTCTCATTTGGCATGAGTGGCATTTCTAATATAATTCCTAAGGACTTCCTCAAATGTGACATACTTTCTTATCATAATAACCCTGTGAGATATTATTAGCTCAAATTGATATATGAAGACACCGAAGCTCAAAGACATTAATTTGCCAAAGGTCACCATTAAGCTAAAGGAAAAGCCTGGAATTCAGATTTTCTACTCTCAATCTTATAGTGATTTCCGCTATTTCACGCTGCAGGTTTATTGGTATATTAATTCGGTGCCAAAGCATTTGCTCCCAAAGGCCATGTACGAGAGCACCTCTGCAGACCAGAAGTTGCTCAACAATATGCAGGTAAGTAGAAAATTTCAATGGTAGGAAGTTGTAGTTGGTTGCAGTAGGGCAGGGAAAGCCCAGATTAATTTATAATAGGAGGTTGGAGTCCCAGCTGTAAGGCTAAGTATGTTACTGTAAGCAGGTCTATGGGTCTTATACCTGCTTAGCGTGGAGTCTACATGGGCCCTTTCCTCACAAAGATTGCATCTCTCTTATCTGCACAAACCCACATTCTTTATTTGTCCTTCAGGGTTTAAACCAATGTCCTCTCCTAAAGAACTTAACTCCAGTAATTTGTGAGTACTACAGAGTGTACTCATGCCCAAAATCTGGAATTTTTATTCACAAGTCATATGTGTGTGTTTTAGCTCTCCAGCTAGACTTTAAACAGGATCTGCCTTGCTGGAGTATGTTGTGGGTTCAATTCCCAGTCCAGGTCAGGGAGTGTATGGGAAGCAACCAATTGATGCAACCAACATATACATGTTTCTCTTTCTTTCCCCTCCTATCCTCATGCTTCCTTTCCTTCCACTTCACTTTCTCTAAAAATCAATGAAAAAAATATCCATAGTGAGGATTAACCTTTAAAAAAGGTGTTTTCAACATCTCCAATTCCTCTCTGCCTTTTCAAAACTCTTCCCTCTTTCTCCCAACTGCCTAATACAGTGGTTGGCAAACTCATAAGTCAACAGAACCAAATATCAACAGTACAATGATTGAAATTTCTTTTGAGAGCCAAAAACCGACTTCTGTGCATGGGCCACGAACTTTTAATTGCATTGTATGTGCGTGCCCACACGTGGTATTTTGTGGAAGAGCCACACTCATGGAGCCAAAAAGCTGCATGTAGCTCGCGAGCCGCAGTTTGCCGACCACTGGCCTAGTATATCACTATGCCTTGGACAAATGCCTACTGAATGAATGAGAACCTGCATTCAGGCAGTGGAAGCCTGGATTGATTTGTAATAGGAGTTTGGAGTTCCAGCTCCATAGCCGAGTAACTGTGTTACTGCAGGCAAGTCTGTGAGTCTCGGGTTTTTCATCATAAAATGATTATGGGGGTAGGAAGTAGGTGACGTATATGAGTTCCATGATCTCTAAGATACTATAATTATTTAAATATTATTTTGATTGGGCCAACCGTAGCCTTTACTCCATTAGGGGTGAGAGAAGAGATGAATGAGAATTCCAAAGACAAGAATGTGAAAAAACAAGGCAAATACAGAAACCAAATAGCCAACCACCCAGCAGGCAGAAGAAACCAATGTGTCTGGAAAATTAATGAGGTAAAGAAGAATCAGAGAGAGCAGAGATGTCTTAGGCAAGGCTTGAAATGTGAAGCCTGTCTGAGAGGGGGCAAAGGGTTTATAAGGCAAAATATAAATGGGGACAGCTTCATAACTAAAAAAAATTGCATTAGTGTTTAGGCATGTGTAGCATAATGTTTGTTTTTTAATTTACTCTTCTTTTGCTATTCAAGCTTGAAATCAAATGCAAAGAACATCAGCACAGAGACTGTTTAGGATCAGGAGAAAGAAAATGAGATGCGTGCTAACAACTTCCTTGTGGAAATAAAAACAGAAGGTCCTAGTAATAGGGATTGGTACTACCAACATTTGGCTATTAGAAATGTTATTTTTCTGTACATTCTTCTCCATTTTGTTGGGAGGTGGGCAGTATAACCATTTTAATTAGAATATTTCTCTTAAGTTTAATTTTATTAAATATTTTAATAATTCCAAGTAATATTGCACTGGTTTCATTAAAATTTAAGTTTTAGCTGACAGACCAATGTAATAAATAAAAATTGTGTTATAAGGTCTGTCTATGCCTTCAATAATAAGCTCCCTTGGATAGGATGAACATATGAAAGGCAATGAACCAAAGTATCTGGTATGATAAGAAGGACTAGAATTCATATAAGGAATTAAGGAAAAAGAAAATCAAGTTCAGCTTGAAACTTAAAGAAAAAAAAATGGCACCTCTTCAGAAAAGAGATTCTCTGAAATTAAAAAAGTAATACTTGAAGCAAATAATAGTTCTTGGATTATCAGATGCAAACGTTTTCAGCTGGTATCTGAAATTGAAGTGACACTTCAAAAGATTAAATCAGTAAGAGTCCATGATTGATAAAAGACCAGAAATTTTCTTTTAAGAAACTGCAAAACTGTAAAAGGAATTTGATATTTAAGAGACATTTTTAGGAACCTCCTGATGAAATTTTTTATACTGAAACTGCAGAGAAGAAACTCACTGTAATCCATGTTATCTAACTTTGGGTCCAGTTTGCCCTTCATCTTCTACCTCAGAAAAGGGCCTAAATTTAACCAATCTATAAAGAAATTTCTGCAGGGAGAAAAAAATCGCATTATTGTGTGTGTATGAAAGACAACATACCTGCTTCATCATAGGATACAGTCAATTTCTCTAGCATTTCTCGGTCAATCGACAGAATCTGTTGTTCTAGGATAGTCTGGTAAGACAAAACACTATTTTCTTTGTCTTTCTCGTAGTCCTGTAGATGCAGTTTAAGGGCCTCTGGGAGTCGAGATTTTACATATTCAGCTGCAGTCTGCAAGTAAAACGGGTAAAAAAAAATTAATATTTTTCATTGTAGGCTTTTCACTTTGTCTTAGGTGCTGCAGCGAGAACTCAAAAGCACTGTGATGCTAACCCTTTAGACAATCATATCCTTGTCATTTTTAGTCTTCACTGTACCCAGTAAGTTGACTTTTCAAATAGGCAGAACCACAGACCTCTAAGAGTTTTCTACCAGGCTGAAAGGTCTAAAAGATGATAGATTTAGTTTGTCATTCATGGAGTTAGTATTCGAAGTTTCAACAACTATGCCTCTGAACTCTGAAGGCCCCATAATAGTAATCTTACTAGATATAAATATGACTGCCCTTGTCTAGAATGCAGAAGCCAAGTCACTTCATCTCAGCAAAAGACAGTCTATGCTATGCCAGCTGTATTTCTACTTTGTTTTGTTGTTCTCTACTCACTCATGCTCACACAGGAATTCTTGTGAAGGGAAGAGAATGGAGAGCCTTCTGTACAAGCTGGTAATGGAATAGTGGGAGAAACAGAAAAAGAGAACATCTAAGACAATGATATCTGTTAGCCAGAAAAAAGAACTGTACACCACTTAAATGTTTTGGCCTTTATATACATACTAGATGCCTGGTGCATGAAATTCGTGCACTCCCTCAGCCCAGCCTGCACCCTCTCGCAGTTGGGAAGTTCTCAGGGGATGTCTAACTGACGGTTTAAGACCCTCCCCATGGCAGTCAGACATCCTGAGCACCGCCACAGAGGCAGGAGAGGCTCCTCGCCACTGTTACTGCATTCGCCAGCTGTGAGCCTGGCTCAGGGCTTCTGGCTGAGCGGCGCTTCCGCTGTGGGAGCACACTGACCACCAGGGGGCAGCTCCTGGGTTGAGCATCTGCCCCCTGGTGGTCAGTGTGTGTCATACCTACCTGTCCAGTCGATTTGCATATTGGCCTTTTATTATATCGGATCATTCTTAACTTGACTTTGTTCTGCTTCTACACTATCTCACAATGCACTCCCAACTAGGGATATCTGAAATTACATGCAGTGATTTTTCAACCCGGTAGGCATGCTTCCCTTGGAGGTAGGAAGCAAGGCATGCATACTGTGACAAAGACCTCCCTGAAGATTCTAATATATTCATCTGGGGGGCTAGCACACTCTTCCCCCTTCCAGCCAAGAACACAACTAAACAGAACTATAAAAAAGAAATTAAGTGATGGAGTGGCATGTGTGAATCAGAAACTGAAATTCTTAAAACATATTTCTTAAGAATGCCGAGAGTTTAACATCTCCTTGCTGTGAATTTGATAAAATAAATGAAGGCATACACATATTGTTTAAAATTATACTCACAACCATTAGAAACTGAAATAAAAGAAACCGTCAAAAAGAATTGTCCCTGGGGTATGGGCCCAGAATAAGGAACAGCATAACAGAGCCAAATATCAGCAGTAAAACAATTGAAATTTCTTTTGAGAGCCAAATTTTTTAAACTTAAACTTCTTCTAATGCCACTTCTTCAAAATAGACTTGCCCAGGCCACGGTATTATGTGGAAGAGCCACACTCAAGGGGCCAAAGAGCCACATGTGGCTCATGAGCCTCAGTTTGCTGACTACTGAGTTATACTAAGAAGATATTGAACAGTGGGAATAAAAAGATGAGCTAGATAAACTACCAGTAAATGTACAAAAGGCGCCTATTGCAACTTCTTACAGAATTTGCATACACTTATATTACCCAAGCCAACTGCAGTCTGGAAGGCAGTAAAGAAGCAGAATGACTAGGGATCTAAATTCTGGGAACCTAGTACATAGAATGCTGAGACTTAGTCATTATACTACAGAAACTATTTACTGTACAGTGGTATATTCTTTAATTAATTACTAATGTATATGAAAAGATTTGGCCATCTGGTGTGCAAAGTGTAATTTAAAAGCTACTAAATGCTTCACAATTCATCTTTAAAAAGAAAACCTGTCAGCCATCCAATTCCAATTTATTGAGTGTCTGCTGAGTACAGCATGTTAGATTAAGACACTATCTGGAGAACAACCCTTTGCCATTAAAGAACCTGCAATTCAAACAACACACACATGAAATTCGAGGGAAAAGCATTGTCCAAAGCAACACAAAAATAGGCATGAATCTTGAGATGAATTAGCATATTTAATTAACATAGGAGCTCTGTTGAGTGCTGCCCAGCATATAAAAAGAGAAATCTAAGAGAAGAGACAAGAAAAAGAATCAGGAAATCATTCCAGTAGGGTTTAAAAATCAGCTTTGAGGTTAGAAGCACTTAGTAGATAAGAGAAATGCAATCTAGAAAGTAGTAAATATGAGTTCACAGGGAGAGATAATAAGAAATGAAGTTGATAAGACTAGGAGGAGGAGGAAGCTGGCAGGCGGAGAAGGCTTACCTCCCTGTTAGCCAGGGAGTTTTGACTTGTGGCAGTCACAGGAAACTGAAACGTCTTAAGGAATAAAAGAAATCATCAAATATGTTTGAGGAAGAATGTGCTTGGTGCTCAGTTTAAGGCGCACTGAAATAGAAGGAGATTAAAGTAAGGAGACAAGGAAAAAATCTGAAGGAAAGGAAAGCTTACCTTCTACACAGTGGTTGGACTATTAATCAGACAATCCTATTAAAGTTCAAATTGACTTTATGACAAATGAAAAAATGTGATAAAAACTTTAACAGTTTACACCTTTTACCTAGCATGTCTTTCTAGGAATTTATTTTAAGAAGTTATTTAAGAATTTATTTTAAGAAGTTAAAGACAAGCTTTAAAGACTTGTGAGCAAACATGTTTATCAAATATTATTCATGAATAACATTTCTGGAAACCAGTAATTAAATTATGGGATGTCTAGACATTGGAAAAAAACAACAACAAATCTATTGAAAATCATGTCAACTATAACTTTAAAATGAATTTTAAAAATACATCAAGAAAAAAGATCATGTTCTGGAAGAGTAACAATTATGTGGGAAAATGTTCATAATGAAACTGGTTATAAAACAGTTTGTATACAATACGTATGAGAAAAAAAAAATGGCTGAATTATGCTAATACTAGAGGCCTCGTGCACGGATTCATGCACTGGTGGGGTCCTAGCCTGTGGGGATCGGCTCTCTGACATCCCCCGAGGATCCCAGATTGCAAGAGGATGTAGGCTAGGCCTATGGACCCCACCAGTGCTCAATCAGGGCCCAGGAGGGACTGCAGGAGGGCTCCAGTGAGGGATCGTGGGAGGGCCCATCTCGCCCAGTCCCAATCGGCCAGACCCCAGCAGCAAGCTAGCCTACTGGTTGAAGCGTCTTCCCTCTGGTGGTCAGTGTGCATCAGAGAGACTGGTCGAATGGTCAGACACTTAGCATATTAGGTTTTAGGATATAGGATGTATCATTAGTTATCTAGGGTAGTAAAAGTTTGGGTGATGATAATTTTTCCTCTAGGATGTTTTCAGCGTATTTCAATTTTTCTAAAATACATATAATAGAACAACAATTGACCACTTACTGAGTGGTTGAGCACTGTGCTGAATATTTTACATGTACTCGCTTATTTAATCCTCAAAGCAACCATATAGGTTTATACAGATGAGGAAATAGACTCAGAGTTAAATAACTTATTTCTGATTATACAGTGAGTGGTGGAGCAGGAAGCACCAATAGATTTTGAACCAGAAACGAAAAACATATATAATATATATATATTAAAGAAGAGATGCCTACTGCAGACATTGCCTTGTAAAGCAAAGCAGCTTAAGAAGAGATAAAAGAGCACATGAGCAAAGACTCACAACAGATGCAAAAGAGCAATAAGTAAAATGGCTTCAGTGGGAAAACCGAGCAAAATGAAACACTATATTAAATTTACTCATGAACATTTAACTGCAAGCTGGAAAACCACCCGCCTCTTCGTATGTTATTTTCTATCCACTCCTCTGCTCAAAAAAGGCAAACCTCCCCAAGGAAAAGGTATTAGACTTATTTAATAGAATTCCCCCCCAAAAAAATACCAGAGTAATAATTCGGTTATGAGTTTCAGAGAGGCAAAGGCTATTTTCAAGAGAAGCATTAAGTGATATTGAATCAAATCTAACAGAGCCCCCATTAGAGAAAGATCACCAGTAAATTAGACCTATGTTCAAATAATTTTTAGTATGTATTTGCTCTGGGAATTTTCAAAGGTCATCTTACTATTCATTTTGAACTTCAATAGACTTTAAATAAAAACAGGCTTCTGATATCCTTAACTATGAAACTATGCCTTATAATTTTTTATTTAATACTGCATATTTCAAAGTTATGGGAGTTTTTTTATTTTGTTGTCCTCTCCTTTTTAATCACATTTTATTACCAATTCTAAGAGTTAGTCTATAGTGTGCAATTTTGTCCTTCAAAATTTCAGGTATGGTATTCAAAGAAAGAAAGCTCCCTCTATAGCAAATAAAGTCTTACTTGGAATATATTTTTAAAACCAAGGAATAGAGTTTATCATTCAGTTTCCAATGATCTTGTGTTATAAATGTTGGTCCTGCTGTAAGACCCAATTTCAAGGCAACTTTAAAAAAAATCAGCAGATGAGATGCTAAGATTGCAAAACTTGGGCAATTCATGTTACTAAGAAGAAATACCCACTTCTACCTCTAGGATGGTCTGCCAAAGTGTGATTTTGCAAGAAAAAAAGAAAAGTTTCAGAATTTGAATACCTTTCAAATTCTCTGATTTTATACATTAACCTTTCCCCTTCAGTTTATTTCTTACACACACACACACACACACACACACACACACACACACACACACACACCCTTCTTCTTGAGAGAGGGCCTCAAGTGCCATCGGAATGAATGGGACAAACAGCTGATGGCAGTGCTTTCAGTTTGCCTTAGCATCACGTCTGCCTGACCTGGAACACAGTGCTCTGCTTCCTACAGAAACGTTGTCTGTGAATGGACCCAGGCATCTCAAACGGGATAAAAAGGAGACTAAAGCAAAGGAACTGAT